TGTGCCTGAAAAATAATGGAATAGAACTGTGGCATAGAAGTTAATTACCATTATGTATGAGATTCATAGGCAGTGACTGTAGGCATCCATAATAAATTCAGCAGGATCACAAAAAATACTGTTGCTAGACAGTGATGTTAAATTTGCACTTACAGGTGCAAAGTAAGAATATAGAATGAAATGTTGAAGTGCCAGCATCTCTCTCTCTGCCTTGCAGTTCAGACAGCTCCAAAATGACTTGAAGTGCTGCAGGTTCCCAAATGCACTTCACAATCTCTCTATAACTTTTGGATCTCTGTTGGAATTAGATATGAGTTTAGTGCTCCAAAACCACTGATATTTCTATATGATAAGAAAGTCACTGTCTGGCTTTTCAAATAGTCTCTGAGGATACGAATGCTTAGTCTAGCTTTTAATACAAGGGCACTCATACCATTCATCAAGGATGACTTTCTGACGCACTCAGTAGATAGCTGATGTTCACATCTCTCTCAGACCTGTCTTTTTATGCAGCAAATGAAGGAGAACACCATGCTGTGGTTATAACTCCTTTCTGGGGCTCAGGGTCCCCTGTTTGCTGTTGCTGTATTCATCTCTTCTGGACAGATTTGGAGCCAGTGTACATTTGCACAGCTTCACAGCAGACTTGGACTAACTGGGGCCTGTCTCAGGCATGGACAAAAAGTAAAATAAATTCTATTCTGCAAGATAGAATCAGATGGTTCTCTCTGGAGAGAGCCTGGTAGGAGTTTGAGAGTACTTTAGGGGCAGAAGAACCCTATGCACTAAATTAGCAGCTGAGAAGAGCTAGAGAAGCTTTTTATTCCCCATGCAGCCACATGCTCATGTCCCTTTCCACTGCCCTCGTGAAAGGTGCAAAGCAGTTGAAGGCAGCAGCCTTGTGATGGCCAAGTTTACAGCAACCCTCCTAAACCTGGTGCCACCATGGCCCTCCGCAGGCTGGGCCAGGGCAGGATCAGAGGAGAAGGCTCATCAGGTCAGCTGGTGCCTGCTCAGATCCCTGCTCCCACCATTGTTTCTTTGCTCCTTTTTGGACCACAGAGCTATGGAGAGGTGACATCCACATCCTCTGCAACATGGCTCTGCCAAATGTGTGTGACAAAGGGTGAAAGGGAGAGAAGCTGAAGGTGCAGTGAGTGCAGAGACATGAGAATGAGGAAAGTGTATGTCTGTTGGCTTAAATCCAAATCAACCAACCAATGTGATTGGAAAACTGGGAGAAAGTGAAGAGGCAGATGGAGGAGTGAGGAGGAGATGATGGCTTAGTCACAACAGCTTAAAGCAGCACGTGAGAAGATCCAGAGCCAAGTCTTGCTCCCCTCCCTCGTTGCAGACTGTAAGCTCTTTGGAGAATACACTACCTTCAAATACATGTTTTTACAGCCACAGTACAGTGAAACCCAGGTCATGGAACACAGCAACACAAGTAACAAACCTTCTGCCCTTCACCATAGTTCATTTTGATCTAAGCTGCTGTACCCAATACTTGCTTGGAGGTTTTAGAGAGAAATCTCTTTTTCTAATTATAGGTTTATAGAGAGAACAGTTTCCTTTACTAGAATAAGTAATGACCTGATTTTTATGTGTGCTGCTCAGAGGGGAAAGCACAAAGCCAGTCCTGCTATATTCCTATGTGATCTTGTAGGAAGGCTCCTGGCTAATTTTTGGCAAGCCTTACAGAAAACCTGCACTGCCGCAGACTAAGGAAAACAATGAATAATTCATTTTCTGATCTGTTTCAGGATTGTTTTCTCCAAAATATCTATTTTAATAATTCATGTGATTTTTAGCTGCACCATGCTGCAGATGCAAGGGTACAGAAAGAGCCATACTGCTTTTGAGTGCAGCCTGGAGGATTCATCAGTACACAATTCCAGCTCACATTGGACGAATTCAAAGTGAGGAATGAGAGTTAAAGATGGGTGGTTAGCAAGATTCAAAGGAGAACAGTTCTCAAAAAATCAGAGGTTATGAGAGCCATTCACAAAGAAGTCTTCCTACAATGCCAGAATGGTCATGTTGAAGGTGTCAAGCTTGTCAAGAGCCAACTGGGGACAGAGGAAAGTACATACAGAGTTCTCCTACTTCCCAACAGAACCCATGGAATGCCTGAATTTAGCATTTATAGAACTGCCCAGGTTTACTGTTTCAGGCTGTAACTGATTCCTACTTCAGTCAGATACATCTGTGTGGCATAGCCATGGATTGAGGTTTCCTGTAGAGCTCAGGCAGGAATGACTCCAATCTACAAGACCCCACTAGTGGGCAACCCTGCAGTGCTGGCTCCCCCTGTGGAAGGGTAAAAAATCTTAGGGCACATTATGACAAAAATGGACAAGTCAGCAAATGAAAAGTTAAAAGCTAACCACAGCCCATGAAGGGCAGGATAAAGGAAATGATGATTCCAACTGCAAAAGGAAACCAGTATGTGCATGATGAAACCAGTGATTCTCTAGGTCAGTAGCAGCAGATCTGGGTACATTAACCTGAGCATCAGTGCTCTGTTCACATACATCCTGCTCCAACTAACACCACTTACTTCAACTAGCCACATGCTGAAAATCTGCTTGCAGCAAAGTGCTCCAGCCAGCACCACTAAGCCACTGGCACCCAGCTGTGCCCCATGGGGCGCACAGTACAGATGCAGCTGCTGTTAAAGATTGGTCTTCCATTAGCAAGGACAATGGATTAATCCTCTTTACCTTCTACACGACAGGAAATTTTCCAGTCCAGCTTAAGTGCTGCTGCAAGAAACAGCAGGAGTTACGATTCTCCAAGACAAACTGCATAAATAAGATGGACTTTGATTGCCTCTAAAAATAGTACCTAGAAATGCCACCAGCATTTAAAAAAATACCTGCCTAAAGAGCCAGTAAGAACCTCAGAAAAAATAATTCTCCCTTCCCCAAAGGAAAAAAAAAGCTACAAGCTAAGAAGTGACAGAAAGCCGGAGCAGCACTCGCTCTCCTCCTGGCTGTAATCAAAACCCTGCTCACAGATACTGCTGGTGCTCACCACCCCAGCTTCGCAGATGCTGGTGCAGCAGTGAGGTTACTGAAGACAAATCAGTGCCCACCTACATTGCTGAAGGAGCCCTAGCAACAATTTAAATTCACATTAGCTGGCATAAATAGTGCTGTGCTATGGGAAGTGACACAGAGAATCTATAATGTAGAGAAATACAGGCCACCCTCGTATAATTTTGCATATAGAAATAAAGAACCACAACACTATGCGGTCCTTTTTTCTGGCTTTAAGCATACAAAGGTAAACATTTCCACAGTTCGAATCACATGCAACCTGCCAATATCATGTTTTTATCAACTATATTTTTATCTGCCTGCCCAAAGCAAGACATACTCTGTATAGCATCAGTAAGCTATCTTGTATTTTATAAACCAAAGAGCATCTTAGACTAACAACTTGGCTGGGCTTTTTAAAAACACCTGGGTTGGATGCCACTGCCAGCATAAATTATTTGACTAAGAAAAGTACCTGTGAAAAAACAAAGGGTCTGAAGAGCCCCACAGGCTGGGCAGGCAGCACTGGTGGCCATGCAGGGCCAGGGATGATGCTTTCCCAGCAGTGAGCACCTGGGTGGCTTCACAGGAGCCTCCAGGAGAGGAGATATCAGGTGAAGTGCAGCAAACATCAGTTTGTGGAAAGCTTTTCAGAAGATCCAGCCTAAGTCTCCTCTACTCTTAGATAAACTAATACCTGCACCCTGCAGTGAGTATAAATCTTGATTCTACTTTCTTGAAACACATTTTTAACTTTTTTTTCTTCTTTCTGTTTCTTTCATTTTCCCCTCCCTAAGGAAACCAGCATCCAGCTCCTCACAGGTCAGCTTGGAGGTTATCTTTTTTTAATGAAAGTTCAGGTTTGCACTGTGGTAAGGGGCGATTATTGAGGAGGAGGGGAAGCAGTGTTAGGCAGACATTCTCCCTCAGTAGAGCACAGCCAGTTTGACAGGCACCAGGGACACTCTGCCTCAGGTTTGACGGGGGCTTTGAGAGCAAGGATGTCACAGGCAACACAGCTGAAGCACGAGTGGGCAGGAGGATAAGATCTGTAGGCACCGGCATGCAGAGGCTCCACAGGAGAGGGAATTTTGCACTTAGCTTCATCAAAACCATCTCCCTGCAAGACAGGAAAAACAATCAGCCAAAGCAGTGACGCTACAGTGACACGATCTGACAGAGACAGGTGACATTTTCTGATTTTATTTCAAGTTGACACCTTGAGACATGGTGTAACAATTGAGAGGATCAGAGCAGTAAGGAGGTAGCAGGGACCTTAATGCCTCCCTCCCCGTCAACTCCATGAGCTCCAGTTTAGAGAACTAAAAATAAACCAGCATAGCCTAACAAATTGCAGAAGATATTGAAGTCAGAGTGGGGCAGGCAAAGAGAGTCAAATATTTGAAACAATGAAAAGCTGTTGCTAGAAACTGATCTTAGAATTTTCAAGAGTGATGCAAAGTCATCCTTGATTCTGCTGGTTATCAATAACCAGTTTTCAAAATCAGTGGTGAAGTTCAACAAGCAGATTTTATTTCTTGTATTTCATGCAAAATAGGCAATAGCTAAAACTTCCATATTTCTGAATTAGTCAGAAAAGACTAATTATCACAACACCCCAAGAGTTTTGCTCATTAACTCCAAAACTAGTGCAAGTTTCCAGCCCTGGAGAGAAGCCCTAATGCCCAGCTTACATTTTAGCGAACAAATGAGAGGGCTTGAATGCAAGGAGCTTCCCAAGAACTTTACCTATTCCCCATTGATTTACTTTTCACTTATAAAGTGATGGCCCAAGCCACAACTAGAAATGGTATAAAGAACATGATCTGAGGATGTTCAGATCACTCTTCGGACAAGGGAAATACCACAAAGCTGTTATAACCCCTTTTATCTCATCCGTTAAAGTAAGCCAGCTTTCACCTGTATTAGTGTGTATCTCAAAAACAAAACCCACAATGCTTCAGTTTAGAATGACATATAATTTATTAATATAATTCACAAGTAGTTGGGCACTACCCAATCTCCATATGCAAGTGATTTACACAAACATATAATACTAAAATTGATTGCTTAGAAGGTAAAAAATACCATGGGTATGAAATGCCATGGTAGATGCTTTTCAATATACTACACAATCTTCATGTCAGACACTTTTACTCATTTTTTAGAAAAAAAGGCAGTTTGCCATTTTTAATTCTTTTCATAAGTAGTCTGGGAAACTCAAGTGGTTTTGCTCTAAACCTTCTAATCAATTATTTCTCCCAGTTCTTAGGAACTGAATGGACAACCAAAGCAACATTCTCAGTAGTCCAAACTCCCCCCCACCCAAAAAAAAAAAAACAAACAAAAAAAATCCACACCAAAAACAAAACAGATTTTTGCTCCCCCAAATTCACCAAGCATAAGGTGACCAGATCATGTTGCCTTCTAACATGCAACACAAAGTACTAACCCCTGTATGTTCAAAGGAATGTGCAGGAATTTAGACCATGTTTCACCATGGTGGTGTTGGTGACAACAGCCTGATGCTAGAAGTTTTGGCCCCTGCCAGTATCCAGTGGTTGTGAGTGTGTTTGCAGTTCATTGTGGATGCATTAGCATTACCAGATCATTTGGTATTCATGCAGCTGTGGAGTCTGATTACAATTCTGCATAAACTCTTCTCACTGAAACTTGTGTCTCATAAGCCTCATTAATTCTGCATTAAGCATATAATGGCTGCACAGAGAAAACTGGACTTTAATGTGTTTGCCTGCATCAATTAAGTTACACACACAATCTTCTAGATGAGGTCCAAACAAATATTTTGCTTGAAATGCCAGTAGTTACCTTAAAACATACCAAGAAGTTAAAAAGCTTTCACAATACAAGATCCAGCTACTTATTCCACATATACAAAAACACAGCTAGAGAAATACAATTCAATTGTCAATGCTGAATTATGAGGAAAGTCTAAAAAAATAGAAAACCTCTGATATCCAGACATCAATTCAGAATGTAACACTGCAGAATGTGGCAATATGAGCACCCATTTAAAATGAGAAATCCCCAGTGAGAGAAGCAGAAGGGGATCTAGTATGTGTGACCAAAAAAAAAAAAAAGATGAATATTGCACCAAAAACATGCATACAATTGCCATGGTCATTCAGTATGCTAGTGATGGTCTAAGCCATGATCTAACACAAGAGTGAGACAGTGTTTCCAAATGAAATTGAATGAGTAACTACATATTGATTAAACTTTCTGATGCAGCAAAGTGAGGGCACAGCGCCATTTCTGGGTTCTGGAGCTGTTTCAAGATTTGCTTGTGAAATTTCTCTCTGACACGATTGAACTCCATTATATCCAGCGGATCCTCTTCAATCCAGAATTTGTGGAATTCATGCATTAAGTAGCCTACAGAATAATAAAAAAGCAGAGTATGTAAAGATTACACACAAAACTATGAAGAGCAAATCCTGGTCACTGAGGTTGGACACATCACAACAGTATGCGGGCCAAGACTAAACTAGTTTTGGACAAACCCCAAATGTGATGAGTATCATACATTGGCAGAACTTCTCACAACAAACACAAGAAGTCATTAGTTGTCTTGACACACAGATACAGGAACTAAAATATTAAACTAATAAGTATAAAAGCAGGGAAAGATGCTGCTGATGCTGCTCCACGAGCCTTTTGTTTATATGTAAGTTCTGCCTCACAGACATTTCCTCACAGGTACATTGCCTACCCTTCACTAAAATAGAGAACATACAGGTAATATAACTGTCACCATCATGTCTTTCTGTATTAACACTTCCTCCTCATGCATAATTTTACCTTGTGTGTGCATGACCTTGCTGGAAATGTTGTTTAACATTTATGCCTATAATCCTGGAAAGATGAGTGATAAGATGATATACAGAACCACTTTGGTAAGACATTCCTGTTACAGGAAGAAACTTGATTCCATAGTAGATTTAATATATAGGCTCTGATTAAGGCCTTTACCCTCTCAGTTCTGTGCCATCCTTGGACTCAGAGTTTCACTAACAGGAAAAACATTATATTCAGCACTAGGACTTCAGTGAACTGAATCCAATCTCAATCCCAGCTTCCACAGCAGATGAACCACTGAAGATGTGTAATCTTACTTCCCAACACAGTGAAATGTGAAAGTAAGTTTTCTGTATTCCAGAAAGTGAGGGCTTTTGTTGTAAAAAAAAAAAGGTTTAATTGCTTGTACCCATTTATTTCTATTATGTGACAATTACAACACATATACTTATAACTTCAATTTCAAGGTATATTCGTGTAGTCATATTTTTTGCCAATCATTAATTTGCAAAAGGAATGTTACTTTCAGGAGATGTTACTTTCAAAGAAAAGTTCAGTAAAACCCCTCCAAAAATCCCCACAAACAAACAACTAAATAGCATCCTTGTTCTGAAAAGCCTATATAATATTTAATGGAACACATGCCCAGGACACTAATATTTGCCATTTATCCAGTTAGAGCAATAAGAAATTATTATAGCTGCAAAACATCTGTTATCTAAATAGCCAAACTTAAAAAAACCCAAAACAAATAAAGAGAACTGAACTTTTGCAATTGCCATAAATGTGGCATCTCGACTTCTTATCAGATTCTTACCTATACACTGAAAAATATTAGAAGCATTGCTCTCACTGTGCAAGGATGCACAGCAGGTCTGTGCTGCAGGAGGAATGCTCTAATGTGGGGAAAGGGCTGGAACAACTCTACTGAAGGGGGAAGGGTGACACTTGAAGTAGATACACATATTTTAAGACAACTGTACTTATGGCGAAGTGAACTCCAGAAGCTCTTTAAAGTACCCTTAGTTTCTTGCTGTTTAAAAGCACTCTAAGATGACAGGAAGATCACTCGTTCAGGTACTTGGTAGGGGTTTTTTGAGTTATTTGGTGGGATTATTTTGGGTTTTTTTTTTACTCCTTAGTTTGGTAATGGCATCAATCACAACCCAGAACTTAATTCAGTCATCCTAAAGACAGGAGAACAAGACCAGCATGACAGTCCCTGTGCTGTGTCAGGAGATTTTGATAGTATGGGTAGTACAAAAGTGTTACCAGGAGTACAGTTTATGTATTTCCCACACCCCTCCCCAGACACTTACAGAACGTCTGCTGAAAGTGAGTTAGTGTTGGTGCTTCTGGAGCAACATTGTAGAAGTGGGTCTTCAGAGCTCCACTCACAAGCAGGTTGTATGCGAGGTCTGTTATGTTAATGCCCACGATAGCGAAAGAATAGCTGTAAGATAAAAAAGCAGCAACATTTATTGAATGTTTGTCTTATTTCATTACTCTGTAAGAAACACTGATGACTGAAACTGCAGATTTTATGTGCTGCTGAGGTGTATTAATTTTCTCCTTTGTGAGCTTTCAGTGTGAGGGGGTTGGGAAACACCACATATTTATCTTGTCTGCTTTGTACACTCTAATGGCAGTGTTTCCCTTGTGAAACATATGGTCACAGTGAAAAACAGGAGTTTCTTCACTGTGCCAGTATTTTCAGTGGAGCAGCACCAATTCATTCCTATGGAATAAGAACAAGCCCAGGCGTCCCTGAGCTCTCCTCTGACACAGGGCAAGCACTCCACACAGTGTCTATGTCTGCAGTCACCCATCATTTGCTATTTTAACCCATCTGCCCCACTGGAATTCATTACCCACGGTTAGGAACGTCAGGTTTCAACAATCAGTCCTACAAAGACATGGCTAGAGAGCCTGTAAAAGAGATCCAGCTGAGTCACCTCCAATGTTTTCCTAAGAGAGAACTAGGAACACAGGCCAGAAAACAGGCAAAAGCCTAAATCAGATCATGCTGGAAACAGAAATAACAAAATCAAACTCATGAAGCAAACTCCTGTCATGCTAAAAGATATCAACGATGAAAGTACATTTAAGCAAAACACAACTCGGAAACTAGACATTATTTCTTGATTTGTAAGCCTGTTGCCTAAAGAACTTGACGTTCCTGGCAGTGACTATTTCCCAAGAGAATATACAATGTCCCACACTGACATTTAGTGATAAAAGCAAACTTGTTTAGTTATTAAATGATTCCTCCCCTCCTCTAAACACAGCTGTCTTCCGCAGACTGTCCTGGGTATATTTTCAGTTATCTCTGTCAAGCAAACCAAATACATTCCTTTTCTTTAACCTCTGATACATTTCAGAAAGAAAAAATAATAAAAGTCCAGAAGTTAACTGCAACATGGGGCCTAACGGCAATTTTCAGAGAGAAATTAAACATGGGCATTAAAATGATGTATTACGGATTTTCAGATACACTCAGAAGGAACAACCAGTTCCATACTCATGAATAAGGCAGCTGTACCAAACCTACTGCTTAAGAAGAAAGAAATCTAACTAATATTTCCTCCCTATTATGCTTTCCTGAAAGCAGATCAGAACCTGGCTCTGACAGTAAGAATTGAGACTTGATCACATTACACGTTAAGAAGAATTAAACAGGTTTTCATCACTGCACTATTCATAGCATACAGAGAAAGCTTCTCCTTTTTGGTTATTTTTCCTAATTCTTACTTTAAACTGCTTTTCCTGTAATCTTTGATCAAGGTCAAGGTGTGCTTAAGACAATACATGTCAGTATGTACACCAAAATTTCCTTTAAAATGTAACCAGGAAACACCTTTTTCCCCTCAAATATACAGCAGCATTATTAACTGTTGGCCTTGCGGCAACTTTAAAAGGATTTTTAAACTTACCCAATTGCTTTATCAAACTTTTTCTTCTCCCATTCAGCTTTGCTCAGTTGGCTAAGGTGGGGGGGGGGGGGAGAAAAACCATTAAAATCCAGCAGTTGCCACGCATCACTAAGTGATAAATATTTTCTTTCAATTTCTTTGATATCATAACATAGACTGAACATGGTATTCTACCTCCATTGAGGTAATCACATTTAACTTTGCTTCTGACTGAATGGACTGGTATGAAAAGACTTGAAATGAGTAACTGGCTTTATAGCATTGCTGATAAACTTGTTTAATCTTTACTAAGTATGCATCTATGGCAATGCTCTCAGTAAAAGCTAGTTAATTTCTATAGTGGCCATAAAGATAATCCATTTAGATTAAGTCTGAATTATACAGAAGTTGAAAAAATTACATTTCTTTTAACTCAAAGACTGTTCCAGGCTTTCGTGTTTTCAAAGATATACATGGCACTCATCACTGGAGGCATGATTCACCTGAAGAAGCAAACATGAAAAATGCTCCTCTGACAGAAAGTATTTGTGTCCAGCCAAATCAGAAGCCACTCAAGAGTCAAAAGTAAGGATTAGTATTTCTTACTATTTGGCACAATAATGCAGAGCTTTTCAAGGACACAGAAGGTCCCTCCTGTAAAATTGGTTAGAAAACAGATTGATTTTAGACTAAATTTCTGCTGTTCAACCACATTTTCATTTATAGAGTTATGTGATGCAACCAGTCAGCTGATATCCCACTAACCAGGTTTTAATCTACTCTCATGGACCAAGTTTAGCAGAAATCATTGCCTGCATTTATCACCAGCTAAAAGCAGGCATGGAACCAACCTTAGACATGCCTGGGGGAGTTCTGCCTTGGTAAGGCAGATCAGATTTTGCAGGCTTTAGATCCGAAATTACAGACACCAGTGTGTTCTTGGACTATACTTGAGCTACAATTAGTATATATTACACTAAAAACAATACCCTGACATTCATGTAAATACAGTAGTTTAGAATTCTTGCTATTAAGTACCTAGGTTCATACCCATTCTGACCTGAGTGTTATCACATGGCATGAATGAAGAGAAAACTTCACCTCCTAAATGGCTTAGCATACAAGAATACATCAGTCTTCACTCATTTCTCTAAAACCTTAACTGTCTTTGTAGGCTGTGCCATAATATCAGTTAAAAAAACCCAAGCAAGCATTGAATAATAAAGGTGGCACATGTAGAATGTGGACAAACAATACAATTCAACAGACATAGAAATTACATGGATCATGATCTCATCAGAAACTAGCATGGCTGCTAAGCAACCACACCAGGAAGAACACCAGAGGCACCACCAGCAGTATCTATCTTCTACTGAATTCCCTTTCAAGGGGTAGAAATTGCACATGCTCACACAGTGCTCTAAGACAGTCCTTGGTAATCAAACATGTAAATGAAGAACACTTGTGTGTTCCAAATGCTTTTTGTCACAGAATCAGCATTGAGAACTCAAAATACTGAGGAGATTAAAAGCTTCACAGGATTCAGATGTGGACCTTCTATAGGGCAATCTAATATTACTAGCAGAAGAAAAATGCCTTTTAAGGCAAATGATTACTATGCAGCTGGCTAAGAGGCATTTCCACCCCCAGTAATTAGAGAATAAGTCTCCTATTCACAAATCATTCTCAACACAAAATTTATGCCACTTGAAAGTACCTGATTTCTTAACAGTCAGGACAACAGGCTGGCCAGATTAGACCCACCCTTTGTCAGGGTAGGCAGAGTATGTGACTATAAATAAAGGAGCTCTTCAGCTGTCCTAACAAATCCTTGGCCTAGACTACTTTTGATTACCAAGTCAGTCACAGCTGTTGTGACACCACAGTGGCACTGCTTAGACTTTTTTTCCTACATGTAGAAGTCCCCCACATTTGTTCCTTAAGCCTGGTACTAAATAAGTCTAAACCACAATGCTTTAGCTACATCAAGCAGGGTTGATTTCATTCTTTATATATAAGTATTTTCTATATATAAGCTCAGATGTTGCACCATCAACTATGTTTGAGTTAACTTTAGAGAAGAGAATATGGATCTCTCCATGTGGCAACAAAGACTTTCAGTTTATAACATGCCAAATTTGCTGTATGGTTTGATCTTTATTTGCATGTAGGGTCTCATAAAAATAAGAGAAAAGAAAAAAAAATACCTTAGTTCCTTCTTAGTGACTTCCCTTCATTATGAAAAGATAAAAGAATTAAAAGAAAGGTAAATAAAAATACAAAATCACTTGAAATTAGAAGTATAAATGAAAACATTTAACACTAAGTTTAACTATTTCTAAAGATGCAGTATATAAGTTTGCCTCTTGGACTTGATCAGTTATCATGGATGGATCATGATCATGATCAATCCAGTACTTGAAAACAGATAGCATGTGGCAAGACCCAAGCATATGTTCAACAAAAAACACCTCCCCCCTCCTGCCCCAAGCTCCAGCCAGGACAGTGCTCTTTCAAGATACTGTTTTTACTGGTTTCAGACATTACCTGTATTTAGGATGAAGAGAATCAGAGAGAACTTGCTGAGCTATCTCAGTGTCCCATTCAGCAAAATACCTGCAGATATATATGTTTAGGGTGAATTGTTTAAGAAATACAATGAAAAAAGCATCTTAACTTATACTGAGCTATCCATGGTAGGATACTACATGTGTTGTGCAGTATGAGTAGCGTTTAATGTGTTAAATTCATTAAGCTACTACTTAGACCCCCAAATTAAAGTGCAACTCCATGAGCGCTTAGTGAAAGTGCATTACCAGAGTCTCCTTTCTATCCATCCTACTAAAAAAAGAAAATCAGTTGCTTATTACTAGAGCATGCTGGCTGTTGAGCTCAAGGGAAAGCAGTTCAGGCTTCTGGATGTCGCAGATTCATTAAGCAAGATAAGAGTCATCACAGGAGACTGAGAATTGAAATACATAGTACTGATTCATCTCAGTTGGAAGTTCAAAGCCAGAGTCAAGAGTCCAGCTCCTCCACTGAGCCTCCCTAAACAGTGATGTACCGACAGTGGATGATTTATGTCCTTCAATCAGTAAAAGCAGAAAATATTTCTTTTTCCCCTCGTAGGGGGAGGTTATTTTCCTAAATGTTTCAAAGTTATGTAACAACTTGCAGCAGATAAAAGGGCTGGAGGAACTAACAGTCATTGATTGATTCCCAAATTACCAGCCACACATGGTACCAACACCTGGTGTGCATGAGGCAGAAGGGAAAAGTGATGGAAACTCACTGCTTAATTTCGAGTATAGACAGAAACAGAAGCAGCAGTCTAACCACATAATTCTGCCATGAAGATCACATTTCAAGTGTTTTGGCCAAGAATTCAGCAAGAAATTCCCAAACAAGAAAGCTGAGCAGTAACATAACCCTCCCGCCTGTTCACTTGCAGGGCATTTTGTTTAATGAGATCTAGATATTTGGTGAAAATATACTTTACAGTTTCTTTCTTGTGGGAATAGAGTGCTAAATTACTGTGTCACAGAGAAACTAAGATTAAAAAAGGGTTTAGCAAGTGGTGCTACTGAGTTGAATTAGGAATGCCAAACCAAAGGAGACTCCTTCAAGAAGAGAAACCCTCCAAAAACTGGGCTAGCAAATAAATTCTTTCAGTTTTTTATATCAAGTCCCTAACACTTTTATATGTTATCCCCACAGACTTGCTAAAAACCCGCAAGTAATGCTGATTTTCATGACTTCAGACACACATTGACAGAGGAACATACTTACACCAAGTTATATAAGCCCAGGAGACCCATCCCTCTAAAGTCTGTTTTAGGATCATCACCTTGGAAACCAATTTCACACCACTGCTTTGAAATCCGAGCATTCAATGGTGAATTGGGCTTCAAGCATTTCCACAACTAGGAAAATTACAGGTAAAACATAATGAAACTTCCACACATTAGTAAGGCTTCTTCATTTTAAACCAAGCTATGTTCTTATGTAACATTACTATCCCAGCAATCCAGACATCAACTCAAATTAAATTCCTGGAGGTGAGGAAAGTGGGGAGAAATCCCAAACCACTATTAAGCACTGCAGACATTTCAGCCCTACAAGGCCCTTCTGACCTTATTTGGCAGCTGTTGTAACGTCTCTCAGAAGAGCTTGTTTTGTTCACACCTTATGCATCAAACTAGTGTCTGCCTCCATAAGCACTAAGACAGGAATGGGCTGCAATTTGGTTGTAAATCACTGTCAGAGCTGCAGGCAATCAGCCCTCAAATCCCTGAGGCCCTGCAGTAATCTTTTCTCCAGCATCTTTTGCAAGTCTCTGGAAGGGTTATAAATCAAGAGTGCTGACTTGGCTACCACAGTGCTGAAAAGCAAATCAGAGAACATAAAATAAAAATCCATACAAGAATAGCATGTGCCACCTCCATACTTAACTAAGGGGTGAATCATTCATTGATCTTGCATAAAGAGGAAAAAAGACAAAGTGATTTAACAAGCCAGATCCTCATCTGGAATAAATCCACTTAGCTGCACTGGTCCAACAACTTTAGTGCCTAAATATCATATTGCTAGGCACCTACAAGCAGCCTAAATTGGCATATCTGATAAATACATAACTTTCTGCACATCTCATGTGCCATTTCACAAACTCTCCCTTGCCAAAGCGTATTAAGAAATCAGGTGCTCTCCATAAACTATGAGTAGGTAAGTAGGGCCTCAAGAGCTACAAGACAAGGCCTTTCCAAGTGAAGGAACGATATGCACATTTCCCAAATAAGAAAACCCCAGAAACTGTGTTAATTTTCGCAATTCTAACTGCACTTAAAATAAAGCACCTTAGGAAGGTCGATGATTTCACTTTGTAATGACTGCATAAAGCATCATTTTTTAAACCATATTTGCTATCTTTCTCGCTCATCCATTGACAATAAATGCGGTATTATCCATTAGTTCAATCACATTAACTTAATCTTTCTCTCATTCAAGTGCCCTGCTGGTAAACATGAATAAATGATAGACATTAGGAACTTGAATTACCCATTGCAGAGATCACTTAGCAGAACACCTAGAAGGAATGAAAAGCAACTGGCCTATTCTTCCCCAGCATGGGTTAGAATTAAGTCCTTGGATGTATTTCCATTTGACATGAGAATCTGCAAAACTCCTGCTGTAAAAAAGTGCTAACACACAGGTTGCACTGAAGGCAGATGGTAAAACTGATACTTTCTTTGAAATTATGAATTTTACAGCATAAACTGCACTGCTTAATCTCCCCTCAGATAAATACTCAGTTTCCATTCTGCTTTCATTCTCATGCAGTTATGTTGTTAAAGCACATCAGTGACTACACATCATCAACTGACATGAATCTCAGGAGCATCCAAGAACCAGGACCTTGCCCTCACAGGACAAGGGTGGCCAGGGAGGAGACCACAGCCAGCTCCCTTGTGCTTCTCACCTGTGATCCTGCCCTCAGACCCAAATTCTTGCTCTCTGGGCAGTGTAGATGACCAGTTTATTTAGGGATGCTTTCCTGGAGTCAAAGCCCCCCCTTAAACCTGCAGACAGGTACCTGGTATTTTCAGGTACCAACACTACAGGCTGGTGCCCGTATCCCTCACCTCCACGACACAGGCTTCCTCACTAGGTAAATCTGTGTGTCCTTTTAGTTGAAAGCCCACTCTACCCCTAGAATTTTGTATGTTTGGCTGTACAGAGGCAGGACTTTAACAGGAGGATTCCATCTGACCCATCCTACCTGGTAGCTAGGAGCATTCCTTCAGGGGCAGATCTGGATTTTCACTCCTAGTTGGTGAGACTCCCACCTCTCAGCAAGGAGTCAACTTTAAAGACAGCTTTCCAGACATCTACAGGAACTCTCTGACCATTTGAGGCATTTAATAGAAATAGTTACTTACATCTGTATGTGTTTATATACAAGATGCCTCCTGGGATTTCTGGAAGTGACTGGAAGCCCAAGTAATAAGGTAACATTTCTAGAAGCTCCCACCATAATTTGTGTGAAGCATTACGCTGCAAACCAGAGTGTGGGAAACAGCTTCCTTGTAACACCACCAAATAGGTGGTATGTTTTATAAGCCCTCTGAAAATACTGTAAAAAGCCATTTTCCTGCAGATTACTATTCTATGTTTCTTGCCATTTCTCTTGCACTAGCTATGATGAGAAACAGGATCAGAAGAAGTAATGGAACTTGCTACTAGACTTCTAGCCCCTTTACCCCTTTCTCAATTCTTTTCTAATACAAGAGCTCTCTAGCTCTCCCTCTTCTTATGGCTTCAAGACTGTCTTCCTGCAAAAATAACTTCCATCATCTGTTCCAGTGCAAGGCTTTCCTGAAAGCATGAAGTAAAACCCAACTGGCATGGTTGTCATCACTCTGCATGCATTATCTAAAGAACGGTTTCATTTTGTTTTCATTTGAAAATAGACTTGGTAAATGTAAGGGCATAAGTCATCATCTCTTGCCCTTCCACCCTATGCAATAAAAGCTAGAGGGTTGCCATTGTGATACATAATATCTTCAAAAATGCAAGAAATTGAAGAAAAAAGAAAATTCCAGTTAAGAGAGGAAAATACCCTTCTCACATTGAAGAAGAGTACTGAAGTAGGACATCAGCCTACTTTTACAGGGTTCATAGCGCAGAGCTGTTATCTGCAGTAAGTGCTGGGTATCCAGTGCCTAGATATAGTCCAGCTAAAGGACAGGCATTCATCAAGCTGCTTGCTTGGCAGGGGTTGCACTTACACCCAGACCAGATTAATATGCTATATAACCTTGAAACAGGTACACAATGGAGAAGGCAACAATGCCTCTTGATGTTTCAGAGAGGCTGTTTGGAGCTGACACACACAAAAAGGGTTGCCCTTTAAATACCTCTCAAGCACCTACCTTCAGAAGCATTTCCTCATGTTGTGGATTCTCTGAGTCATATGGCTCTCTGCGAAGCTTTTCAACCTCTGCAATCAGATTTCTGTACCCCACAATCTGCAGCAGGCATGCTTGAAGAGATACTCCCAACCTCAGCAGAAGAGGAAAGAAGTAACATAATCCAGCTCAATCATATGAGCAGCACTACTAGGTACCTACCTGTTTAATTCATTAATGTACATGAATAATATTACATCTATTAATTGATAGCCCAAGACTTTAATTACAACGGGAGTATTTCAGAGATCAATATTATACTAAACAAGGTTGTGAAATGCTTAGTGCCTTCCTTAGATTATAAAATTGGGGATTTTTTTTCTAAACATGCTTCACTTTTTATACCTTCCAGGTGTACAAAAAGGCTGCATTTTAAAGAAAGCTGAAAAGCCTGACGAGACTGCATGTGAAATGTTGTAGTGCATCACTAAACCACAGCTGTAATGGTTTTAACTACTCTATAAACTTGGAGTAGTTTAGAACAGAATGTGACAGGTGGTGGCAGAGCAATTTTATCTTAAAAAAAAATATTGTATTTTTGAGTTCCAAGTTGCACAACATATACAAAGTAAGCCATATTTGCACTTTATCTAAAGGCAGTCAAATGCTCTATGCAGTATTATTCATGGCAGGGGGAAGTGGGTGGAATTAGTTTCCCCACTCTGCTTTTCATTAAGGAATGCTCTCCTCCTTGCCAAACAGAGGAGGCAGGTGAGCTGCTGATGCCCCACACCTCCTCCCTGCCATCCCTGTGCTGGCAGTGGCAGGTCTCAGAGCACAGGAGCAGCCTGCCAGGGCTTGCGTTCAGCTCCAGGTGCTCCACCAGACAGGGGAGAGTTCAAAAACTGGGAGTATTTCAAGGACTGCCTGCACAGTTTGTGTCGACTGCATGTGTCACCTGGTTATTCTACCTACTTCATTCCACCACTAAATACACACACACATCTGAGAGACTTTCATAAAGGGAAATTACTGTGGGTCTCCTCCTCAGGTCACAGCAGCCCACAGCTTTCAAGAGCAGCTCAGTGCAAACACCCCTAGGATGCTAGTTCAGCTCTGCAAATATGCTACATTAACAAAAAAAATAAAATAAAAATCACTGCATTTAATTTGCAGAAACTCATACAGCATGACACACGTCTCAGTCTTTACCACAACAGATTTCAAGTCGCTGCTATGCAAGAGAAGGCCAGAGCTTCTGAACAAGACAGTTTGGATGCAGGTTTTCTTATATTCAAGAGTGGGCAAGTCGATGAATTTTCCTTAATCCTGACTGCAGAAATACTGACCTGCTTTTGCTGAAATTTCTCCAGAGAACTTTAGTGTAAAATAAATGGCTCACAAGCAAAACTGCAGGGCAGATGCTTCAAGTTGAGCAGAATTATGATTAATTTAATATAAAGAACAATTTAGTGGCAAGGTGTGTTTCTGTGTATGTGGCACCACCTTGCACACCCCAGGCCCCCCCCCCCCATTCCCCACTGCAGATGCTGCTGACCACTTAAAGAAAAGCAGCAGTCAATGTATGGGTACTCATTTTGGATTATGTATATCAATTTCAAGTTTAGAAAGAAGAGTGAACCTCAGGCTTATCACCTGAATAATGTAACACTCAACCACAAATTCCTGACCTACACCATCTTGTGCCATATGCTATGGGCTGAGAAACAGTGCATCACAAAAGTGGTTACTCTTGCAATACACACTTGTAAATTTAACAGTTTGCTGTCAGTCTCTTCAATCTCATATCAGCTATGTTGTATCATTAAAACTTGAGCTTGGATAATTAAAGGCAGTTTTAATATTTAAAAGAGTATACTATTTATATCAGTTACAACAGAATTATTTCTTCCCTTCTCAAAAAGCCACGTACAGCCTTGCTAAGAAGCATGACAGGCACTGCCAGCACTACCTGCCTTGGTGGTATTTTATCTCTGTGGAATTGGTCCCCATAAATCAATGCATCAACAATATACTAAGACAGCATGATTCAGGAAATCAGATAGAGACTCATGACTTGCCTGTTACAGTCACCATAAAAGATTATCCATTTTTTCCATCGGCTTCTTGACAAAGCTTAAGATGGAGTTTCATGCTGAGGGATGAAATTCATCTTCAAATTGTGTGCCACAACAGCTACAGAGAACTAGTTCTCCATGGACCTAAGCCCTGAAGAAATCAGTAATTCCCATTTCTTTTGTAAGGAAACCATAAACTTACTGTGGATTTATATCTGGATTAATCCTTTTCAGCTCCATGATGTCATCTATTGTTTTTTCAATAGCATCAGGGTGAACATTTACTGAAGTTTGCAGCCGCTAAAAAGATTTTAAACACATGTTAATTCCTATGGAAGATATTATCCAATAGAAGTTAACAATGGTAAATTTGATACCCAAAAGCTTCTAGATTAACAGCCCAGAAAACTCAACTCAACATAAACACACACACCTTTCACTCTATTCAACCTTACTAACTAGTTTCAGGCATTAGCCCTGTAAGAATTCAAGTTACTTCTCATGCCCTTGTAGTCAATCACATTTCTGTGGTGGCTGCCAGTGAAGGTGATCTGCACCGAGGCCTTTGATCAAGAAGCAAAAATCATCTCCCTGACTACACTGAGACTGCTAGCCTTCCTTTGACAGCTCTCCCAACACACTGCAGTAGGACAGCAAAGCATTCTTCCTTTTTCTTGCATGTCACTGCACTTTGTAGAGATGTCCCTGGAAGTTCAGTATTCAAAAACCAACATTAAAAAATTAAAAGGTTGAACCTGCTGGTGCTTTGTCTCAAAACTACACAATTGCCTAAATGGAAGCTTTTAAATAAGATTCTGCCTTTCTGTTTGTGCTACAAGTATATTTGGAAGCATTATGCTGAACTATGAGCTATGAGACACTGGTTTTGCTAATGCTGAGGTAAGCTTTTCAGCATCACTGATTCTCATGCCGATGAGAAAGGAACAGCTGAATGATGCTATTTAATGTATACACAAATGCTCTGTGACAATTTAGGATAGCATACCCAGTGCTACACTGAAAGGATGAAGCAAAAGAGGCTCTTCTCCTTTAACATATCTAAAATGAAAGCAAAGACAGTTGTCTCAGTTATCTAGGAGCTCCTGCCCTCAGCCCCTTTTATCCCTGCTTCCCACACAAAACCCCTGAGGTGTAAAGTGTGTGACTGACTGCAGATTACAAAAATTCTAAGACAGGATGAAGAATCAAGCTCAGAAGCCCCAAAGTATATCACATCATCTCCACCACAGCTTGCTGCCCCCTTCATTCATCAGTGCCACGGTGTGCCTGTCCCTGGAGCACAGGACACTCTCCTTGAGTTTGCAAGATCACCTGCTGTTGTGGACACAAGACCCTCTTCAGTAGAAGATGGTTTTAATAGAAAATCATATCAAGCCTTAAAGTGTTTTTTGGGGTTAGCAAACAGCAGACTGAGCAAACCAAATGCACAGGACACAACAGAGAAAGGTCAATGACGAGATCTTCCACTCACCTTACTTTTTGAACCCTTCAGTGATGCCTCTGTAGGAGAACAATATTTGAAAGCATCATGTCAGACAAGCCAAGTTCATACTTGATTCATTGAACAATTGTTTATTTATAAGAACAAAATCACACTGTTTTTAGAAGAGGCAGAAAGGTAAAAAGGCATGCAGAAGTATTCTGCAGTTACCTATTTTCATAGTTCTGGCAGCTCCAGGTTTGGTATTGTAGCAAATCCTCTGCAATTCACACTGACCAGTTAGTTTCCTGACCACAAATTTCAGGCAGCGCCACAAGCACTTGCAGTAGAAGTACAGGCATACCTGGACAAACATCCTGGCAAAAGAAGAAGCCTTGATAAGAGTTTTGAGCAGTTTGCTTCAACAAGGTCACCACTCAAGCAGAAGGTACTTTCTCAGGCCAAGTTTCCATTGCCTAAGAACATTTATAAGGCAAAAGCAGCTTTCACACTGCAAACAGTTATCCTGGCAAGCGTTAAAAATGGTTTTTACTCTTGGCATGCACAAAGTGCCAGAACTGGAAGCACAGAATAAGTCAGCACCAGAGTTCTCAAAAAGGTATTTCTGGAAACTCTGTCCCCTTAAAATAAAAGGCCAGTTCCTACTAGTTCCTAGTTCCTACTAATGCTTTGGAGAAACTGGACTACATGGAAGAAAGCACAGGTCACCCTGTTATGGCTGCTGAGGATCCAAGCAGCCACTACATCCAGGCTTAGCTTTGGCTCTGCATGCGGCTGCTCCAAGCTGAGTGGTTATCCTGATGAACAGGAATCAACACTCGGGTGCACAAGAGTGAAGAGTGATGATTAAGGAAACTACAGCTTCCCCCACCTCCAGGAGAGAAGGTGTTTAAGAGCCTGTCCTGAGGACTGCCAGTTCTCCCCAAGATCAGCTGTTACACAGCACTGATGCTGCACAATTTCTCGAAGTGCAGAACTGACAGTAAGCCAAGAAAGCCCTTATTTAGATACTGCATCCAGTTCTGAGCCTCAGCAATACAAGACAGGCTTTGACAAACTGGATAGGTTCCAGTAGAAGCTCCTGAGGTGGAAGGACTGGAGCACAGAACCTGGGAGAAGAGGCTGGAAGAGCTAAGCTTCTTCACCCTGCTGCAGAGATAACTTTAGGGGGACTTGTCAGCAGCCTCTAGTGCCTGTGGGAAGATTATGGAGGAGACAAACCCAGGCTCTTCACAGTGGTGCAAGGCAGGAAGATAAAGAACCACAGTCATAAGCTGAAACATAAGAGGCTCAGCCTAAATATAAGGAGAAGCTTTTTCCACATGAGGACAGTCAGGCAGTGGCACAGGCTGCACAGAGAGGCTGGGAGTCTCCTTCCTCAGAGTTTAACCCCCTACTGAAAGAAGTTTTGGAAGGCAGATGCAGGGACTGTGAGAATGAAGACCTTGGGCCCACTGTAGGAGAGGATCTGGTTCGAGACCATCTTAACAACTGGAATGCACACAAGTCCATGGGACCTGATGAAATCCATCTGCGGGTCTTTAAGGAGCTGGCAAATGAAGTTGCTAAGCCACTGTCCATCATGTTTCAAAAATCATGGCAGTCAGGTGAAATTCCCAATGACTGGAAAAAGGGAAAGATAACCCCCATTTTCAAGAAGGGGAAAATGGATGACCCAGGGAATTACAGACCAGTCAGTCTCACCTCTGTGCCTGGCAAAATCATGGAGCAGAATCTCCTGGAAGGCATGCTAAGGCACATGAAAAACAACAAGGTGCTTGGTGATAGCCAGCATGGCTTCACTAAGGGGAAATCCTGCCTGACCAATTTGGTGGCCTTCTATGATGGGGCTACAGAACTGATGGATAGGGCTAGAGCAGTTGATGTCATCTACCTGGACTTGTGCGAAGTGTTCGACACTGTCCCACACGACATCCTTGTCTCTAAATTGGAGAGACATCAATTTGATGAATGGACCACTCGGTGGATAAAGAACTGGCTGGATGGCTGCACACAAAGAGTTGTGGTCAATGGCTCAATGTCCGGCTGGAGACCTGTAACGAGTGATGTCCCTCAGGGATCGGTGTTGGGACCGGTCTTGTTCAACATCTTTGTCGCTGACATGGACAGTGGGATTGAGTGCACCCTCAGCAAGTTTGCCGATGACACCAAGCTGTGTGGTTCGGTTGATACGCTGGAGGGAAGGAATGCCATCCAGAGGGACCTTGACATGCTTGTGAGGTGGGCTGATGCCAACTTCATGAAGTTTAACCATGCCAAGTGCAAGGTCCTATACATGGGTTGGGGCAATCCCAGGCACAGCTACAGGCTGGGCAGAGAAGAGATTCAGAGCAACCCTGTGGAGAAGGACTTGGGGGTGTTGGTTGATGAGAAAATGAACATGAGCCGGCTTCAGTGTGCACTTGCAGCTCAGAAAGCCAACCACAAAAGGCCACATCAAAAGAAGTGTGACCAGCAGGTCCAAGGAGGTGATCCTGCCCCTCTACTTTGCTCTTGTAAGACCTCACTTGGAGTATTGTGTGCAGTTCTGGTGTCCTCAACATAAAAAGGACATGGATCTGTTGGAACAAGTCCAGAGGAGGGCCACGAGGATGATCAGGGGACTGGAGCACCTCCCATATGAAGATAGGCTGAGAAAGCTGGGGCTGTTCATCCTGGAGAAGAGAAGGCTGCGTGAAGACCTCATAGCAGCCTTCCAGTATCTGAAGGGGGCCTATAGGGATGCTGGGGATGGACTCTTCATTAGGGACTGTAGTGATAGGACAAGGGGTAATGGGTTAAAACTTAAACAGGGGAAGTTTAGATTGGATATAAGGAGGAAATTCTTTCCTGTTAGGGTGGTGAGGCACTGGAATGGGTTGCCCAGGGAAGCTGTGAATGCTCCATCGCTGGCAGTGTTCAAGGCCAGGTTGGACAGTGCCTTGGGTGACATGGTTTAGTGTGAACCCCCATGGCAGGGGTGTTGGAACTTGATGATCTTAAGGTCCTTTCCAACCCTAAGTATTCTATGATTCCATGTTTATAAGTTGAAGCATCCCAGTCTGACCTCAGAACTGACCTGCTGTGAACAGAAGGTTGGGCCACAGATCTGCTGATGTCCTTCCTAGACTGAACTCTCCTGTGATCCTACAAAAGCCTCAAAGAGGCTGTGTACATGAGAAATACTCTATTTTAAAGTTTGTTAGCATTGCAGCTGCTACCAAAGCCCACATACTGCTACCACAATTACATAACACACCCCAAAAGCAGATTTCATGGGCTATAACTTACCTAGACACAGTTTTGCTTCCTCATTTCTACAGCTATGAATGCACAGATCGTGCTGTGTTATCCAACATGTCAACTCCTATGGGGTGTACCAGGACTCGAGCTGTGTGTGGGAGATCTACCCAGGGACATTGGATTCAGAAGCACATTTCAGGAAGGCAAGTTGTAAAGACCTGACAACTGGAACATCACCATCTGGACATGGTCCTGGGCAGCTAGCTCTAGGTGGCCCTGCCATAGCAGGGGGAGTGGACTAGATGGCCCCTAGAGCTCCCTTCCAACTTCAAACTCTCTGTGATTATAGTCTATAATTATATTATGGGAAAACATCAATACAGCTTTGATATGCTAGTTTGCCATTAAACAGTCAAAAATAATTGGGTCTCTAAGCCCGTGTGCATGCATATTCATCATTAGCCCATTATTTTTTCCACATGCTGTTGATGTTTTCAAAGGACAGTTATTTGTTAGGAGACTCTGTATTATTCTTTTCAATGCAGTGCAGTGGTTATTCTGAAATACTTAATTCCAGATAGCTTTAATAAAGCTTGAAGACTCCATCACTTCCTAAAAACATCTTGAAGGGCATGGTGTAGAAGCACATTCAGGGAAGGGAAGATAAGTTAACTCTTTTTAATGTCCACATAGGAGTTTAATCTCCTTTATGTTCACTTTAGCTTAATTGCCTTTGAAGGGAGATTAAGCTAAGAGAACTAAAGCCACTTTATGTTTAAATAGAGTATCCACATAACTATTCAACGTGCTCTAAAAGCATCTGCTTTATCTTCACACTTTAAGTTACTTCACTTAACACTCCCAAACATCTGCATGCAGGCAACCCCCTTGTCTTTATGCATCAGGAAGCCTCTATTTTAGATACAAAGTGAAACAAAGAATGCAGAATCACTCCTACACTGAAATCAAGTTTTAGACAAGCAAAAAAGTTTCAGCTCCTGACACTGAAATATTTGGTCTGTCCCTGTCCCTGCAAGATGTGCCAGAACACACTATTGAGAGGAGTTTGCATGTGCTTCACAGCAGGTTATGACCTTTAGTATTAAGAACAAGACCAGTTACCAGGAGGCAAGTCTGTCATCAGCCAAGTGGCCATTCTTAGTTAAGTTTCCAACAGTCAGAAGGGTAAGTCAGTCTCATATAAGGTCAACTAATGCCTTCAAACTGAAACCTTTAATAGTGGCTTGAAAAAAAACACAGGCTAACATTTGGCATTTTGGTTTTTCAACAGACATTTGCTATCGACCTTCACAGATTTGACTAGCCCACCATCCCTGAATAATCCAAACAGAACCTACAACCACTCCCCAGCCTCCTCAGAACAACCCAGTTCTGTAGTCAGGCTGAAGGTCCAGAGAAATGAATACAAGAGATTAATGCCAAACTCCACACAAAAGGTAGAGTGTGGCAAAACAAAAGTTCTGGGTTTTCACCGTACATCTGTAATAGAATTTAGAGTTGCTTTCTTTTGGCCTGCTTTGTTTTCAAAGGTTAGGCCTCTATTAGAGCAACTGTCTGAGTAGAGAGCTCTTTTATACAAAAGAGGGGAGGAAAGACTCATGTCATGTTAACAGCCCATGTAAGATTTCCTTTTAATGAGGAAGACTGTTCCCATAAAAAACACACAAAGCTCACGACTACAGGACTAAAGCATCACAACCCATTTCATTACTCAAAACTTTGTTTCTTACTGCATTATGTGATATGGACAAGTTTTGCAGTGTGTGGGGAGTTATTAGGTGCATTGAAATGATGTGTTCCTGCCTTCAGGCTCAATGACAGATTCGCTAATCAAAGGAAAAAAACTCTAAATGGGACAGGGCTGTGACCACATGGTTGCAACCACCTTCCCACTAAAGTTTTGCTCCAGCTGTGGTTTGCACAAAGATTAGCTAATAAAAATGCATCTACTAAAAACATGTCACTAAAGCACTCAAACACTACATCTGTGATTCACTAAAATATGCTAATAAAGCAACGAACACTAGTTTTCTACTAGGTAGCTTATAGAAGAAAGTTAGCCTTTGTCAATACCTCAATTTTCTACTACTCA